TGTATACTGTACACAGGCATTAAACATAATTTACATGTACTTATTTTATTTTATTTATAGATATTGGATGCAAGATCTGAGATGTGTCGTTTATCAAAATTCCTTTTATATACATCCATTTGAATTCTAAAGATATATCCTTTGATTCCATGACCGTACCCATTTTCATGTTAAATATTTTTCAAAATGTTTTTGTAATCGCATGTACATGTGCCCCTTTGAACTTGCACAAATGACCATGGATTAAGGTGTAAGGTATTAATTCTTATGTTCCTCCGTAAAAAAAGATATGAACAGGACACGTTTGCACAGATAGATGGACTAGGCCATTCCTATACATACCCCAAAACTTTGTTTGTGGGGGGTATAATGATAAGACCACTGATTATTTGGGCAACAGATTTAGAACAGATCAAGGCACAAACTGCATCATCAACATCTTGTAAAACTCAAATTCACATAAAGTTGAAAGGAGCTGGTTACTAAAGGCATTGGGTTTTTGTAAACAGAAAATAAACGTACGTTAAATCTTTGAAACGGCAACATACCCAAATCAAGAAACTTTGACCTTGATTTACATTAAATAATTAATATTGTTTACTGTGAAACAATAAGTCTGACCTTGGTCTTTATATATTGAAACTACCGTCTCTAGTGTCAAAGTGTTTGGTTTTCCTAACAAACAAACACACAGGCATGTTATAATATAATCAATTATTTTTCTTTCGTATGATTTTAATACTGGTATAAAAGGACAAGCCAGTACTAAATAGTAAAATTCCCACTCTGATAGACTCTCATGAATCAATCTTACAATAACATGGCATGCCTAAACAAAGAGTGTACAAAAATTTCAAGAATCTGCAATGAGTATTCGCTGAGAAAACCGTGATGGAAATCTGGTACATACAAACACACAGATAAACAGAAAGCTGACATTGTATTCATACAAAAATAAATGTCACCTTTTGACATGCAAAACGTGTGTTAAAAGCCCCAATCATCTACTTTGAGTAGTTGCCGAAAATATGCGAAGAACATTTTATACAGACAGACACACAAACAGCTAAACGGACACACAAGGGTAAACAAGAGGCCCAGGGGCCACAGCGCTCACCTGAGCACATCGGGCTTGAATTTACCCCCCCCCCCCCAGGCATTTATCATTTGAACAAACTAGAATCTACATTACCTGAGGATGAATCCATATAAATATCACTAATCATAGCTTTGAAGTACTTGAAAAGAAAATTTTTAAAGGTTTCCCTATATATCCCTATGTAAAACTTGGGTCGGCCATTTTGGCCCCACCCTAGCCCCCCGGGCATAGTCATGTCATGATTTGAACAAACTTGAATCTACACTACCCCAGGATGCTTCAACATAAGTTTCAGCTTTTCTCACCCCGTGGTTCTTGAGGAGAAGATTTTCAAAGATTTTTCCTGTATATTTCTATTTAAAACTTTGATTCCCCATTGTGGCCCCACCCTAACCCCGGGGGTCATGCTTTGAACAATTTAGAGTCTACACTACCCCAGAATGCTTCCACATAAGTTTCATCTCTGCTGGCCCAGTGGTTCTTGAGGAGAAGATTTTCAAAGAATGTTCCTATATATTTCTATGTAAAACTATTGTGGCCCTGCCCTATTGATTTGAACAATTTAGAATCTACACTAAGGATGCTTCCACATAAGTTTCAGCTTTTTTGGCCCAGTGGTTCTTGAGAAGAAGATTTTCAAAGAATTTTCCTATATATTTCTATGTAAAACTTTGATTCCCCATGTGGCCCCGCCCTACCCCTGGGGGTCATGATTTGAACAATTTAGAATCTACACTACAATAGGATGGTTCCACATAAGTTTCCGCTCTTATGGCCCAGTGATTGGTTAAAATTGGCCCAGTGGTTCTTTAGAAGAAGTCGAAAATGTGAAAAGTTTACAGACGGACAGACGACGGACAAAATGTGATCAGAAAAGCTCACTTAAGCCTTCGGCTCAGGTGATCTAAAAAATATACCCCTCTCCTTTAAAGCTAGGGTGGAATTACTCGTAATCTGTTTGATTGACTGGACAATGTTATAAATGTGTATGATTCACTTTAAGTGTTTGAATAAAATTAACCACAACTCAACAGATTGCAAAATTTGCAAAGTCATTAGTTTTTAAGTGTGTGTTGCATTGCGAACCACAACCACATTTCAGTATAATGTTTCTGTACATATAAGTAATTAATTATCAAATTATGGTTTTGGTTCAGAATGCAACAAGTGGTGTACTAGAAGGTTAAACATCATAACCCTCCAACATTTTCCCATATACTCAATGTTAAAGCAGTTGAGGGTACCATACTTTGATCGTTTATTCCAATATTATCCGAACTTTTTTCTCGCAAAATAAATATACAGCACAAAATTAGACATGTTGAATATAATGAAAGTAAGTTTAAAATTGTTGGCAATCTAATTTCATTTTTCGCAACAGACATATGGGCCAAAAAGCAGCCTTGTGGAAACCTCGCCTTTGAATCCCCTTCATCTACTGATGCTTCGTAGCAAGTTTGTTTAAAAGTGGTTCTTGCAAATTTGATGAAAAAAAGGAAAATTAACTGACAGACATACTGATAAACATATGGACAAAAAGTGAACAGAAAATATCAGTTGTCTTAAATTTTTGTTCAGATGTGCTTAAATTATAATACATTCTGACATTTTTCATGACTGGGAATGGGAGAGGTAACGATGCTTTTATATTGATGACCAATCATGACTCTGTTGTTCTTGTGAGAATTTAACGTTTCAGTGCATTCCTACTTAAAACATTGCTCACCCATTTTGGCCCTAATCTTCCCTCGGGGGTCATGATTTGAACAAACTTGAATTTACACTACATTTTGTGATGTTTCCATATAAGTATGACCAATCATGGCTTTTTTTCTAATCATGGCCTTGCTGTTCTATAAGATTTTTAAGATTTTTCTTATGTATTCCTATCTTAAACTTTGAACTTTGATTACCAGTTTTGGCCCTAACCTACCCTGGGGTCATGATTTGAACCAGAGGATGTTTCCATATAAGTAACAATGAACAATCATGGTTTTGCCATTCTTGAGTAGAAGATATTTAATATTTTCCTTTGTATTCAAATGTTAAAGTTTGACCCCCATTGTGGCCCCATCCTACCCCCAGGAGTTATGATTTGAAAAAAAAATAATTTTCAAATACAGATGATGCTTTTACATAAGTTTCAATTTTGCTGGAAAAGGCCATTTATTTGAATTTGAATTCCCTTTACCCATGCATACTTTGTGGCAAATTTGGTTGAAATTAACCTCTTGAGAAGAAAATGAAAAAGTGAAAAGTTTACAACGACAGCAACAACAACAACGACAAACAACAAACATATTTTGATCCGAAAAGCTCAATTGAGCCTTCAGCCCAGGTGAGGTAAAAGCTTTCGCAGATATTAATATCAAATACCTCTTTTGTCTTCCTTTCAGCATGAGTGCCCACCAGTAAAACAGGAGCCTTTTCACTGCTGTATTGATGAATGGACTTGGCCCAGAATGTTAGATAGTCTGAATGAAATAAAAAAACTAGTGCTAATTGTAACGGGGACCGTTACAGATGTTCCCCAAACGCTCCCCAACTCCCTTTTGGTGCCATATTCCCTGTAAGCTTCATTAAAGAAGACAAAAACTTATGCATTTGAGACTTTAACAACGCCAAGTTCATTCAAATTTTAGCATTGCACACGTGCGCATGTGAATGCATGTGCATAATGACAATATCATTTTGTCTACACAATCTTTTTATTTTTTATTTGCTAAATACTAGTATTCGAATATTTAATCCAAAAGTATTTACAAAATTGCTCATTCCAGTGTATTTTTTTTATTTAACCCATTTCACGTGCACACACGTGCATATATGAGCATGGTGACCATATCTTCTTGTAGAAGTCCATTACATCTATCTATGTTCTAAATCCCATCCCGTTTGGTTGAAAACCAAGGAAGTTTAAGCTGTTTAAAATTTAAGCCAATCAGATTACAGCACACGTACATGCACGTGTTTTCATGATGCATGTGCATGGTGACCATACCTTCTTGTAGAAGTCCATTATATATATCTATGTTCCAAATCCCATCCCATCCTGTTTGGTTGAACATCAAGGGAGTAATAGCAGTTTAAAGTTTCAGCCAATCAGATTTCAGCGCACGTGGATGCACGTGTTTTCATGATTATTGCTATATATCATGTTGTATGATATCCTAATGCATGGCTATGTTCAAAATTTTAAAGGATTTGGTCAAAAAACAAGAAAGATATTGAGACTTTAATTTCAGCCAATCAGAGCAAAGCGCACGTACATGCGCGTGAGATCTTGCTATTTTGACCATGTCATTATGTCTTTACTACTAATATATCCTCATATTATGAGTATTTCATCAAGAAATAGAAAGGTTGCGGCTATATCTATTATATTAGTCATTTCACGTGTTGCACGTGCGCGCTCTTGCAAGCACGTGCGCGAGGAACATGTCATCATGCCTTTATAACTTATATATACTTATATTATGAGTTTCAAAGCATATAGTCAAAAAATAGAAAAGTTATGGCTATATCTACTATATTGGTCATTTCACGTGTTGCACGAGCACGCTCTTGCAAGCACGTGCGCAAAAAATGACCTTGATTCCGCAAATCTACCTAACATGTCTACTAACCCTAAAAAGGTTTTACCTACTTCGGGTGAACAGTTTACAAGATCACTCGCAGACAAAAAAGTACACAGGAAGAAGAAGAAAAATAATAATAATAAAAAACAGAGTAAAAACAATATGTTCCCCAACTTCGTTTGGGGAACATAATAAACATTAACTCAGTATACAATAGTCTATATCATGTTGATGAGTATAAATCAACTCCAACTTGGCCCAGAATGTTAGGTAGTCTAAATTAAATAAAAATCAACAATTACTCAATGACTTTATCAATAGATACAAGACTATAAATGCTTAAGCTCACATTAAACCACCGGTAGCCTTTACTATGTTAATGAGTGTAATCTCCTCCAAAGGAAAGAAAATGTACATCAATTTAGCTTTGATGTGAATTCACTAAAACTGCAATTTTCTGAGGGCTTAATCTTGTTAGATAAAATTATTCAATGATACTAAAAAAATCTTGTTAGATGAAATTATTCAAAGTTACTGAATCCTCCGGTATTGAGCAACAAATTCCTTTAAATATAAATGAGTGTCCTTTCACACACTCAAACAGATTCATAGACCACAATAATCAATTCAATCTTACAGGACGACATCGCCAAACTTAGTAATTGCCTCCGGGGTCACATCGCTCCCCTGAACAATAGCTTAGGAAAAAAGGAAGAATCACTTAAGCAATGAAAAGCTTAATTCCATAAATGGTTAAAACCTATCCCATCAAGGGAGAGGGAATTGTGATTTGAACAAAATTGAATCTACTCAAACTAAGGATGTTTACATAATTTTTTGAAAATCTCTGACTTTTTTTTTTTACAAGTTTGGATTTTCATTGTAGCCCTACCCTACACCTGGGGGTCATGCTTACGGAAGCTTCCATATAAATGTGACCAACCATGGCATACAAAAATGTATCCCACCATATGGCATGCCTCAGAGAAGTTTGTGTTAAAATTTCAAGCATCTACATTGAGCAGTTGCTGAGAAAACTGTGACGAAAATTTGTTATGTATGAAACGGACAGACGCACAGACAAACAGGAAGTTGACACTGGATTTAAAACAAAAATGTATCCCACCATATGGCATGACTCGGAGAAGATTGTGTTAAAATTTCAAGCATCTACGTTGAGTAGTTGCTGAGAAAACTGTGACGAAAATTTGTTATGTATGAAACGGACAGACGCACAGACAAACAGGAAGTTGACATTGGGTTTGAGCAAAAATGTACCCCACCATATGGCATGCCTCAGAGAAGATTGTGTTAAAAATTCAAGCATCTACATTGAATAGTTGTTTCGGACGGACAGACACACAGACAGACAGACAGCTAGACAGACGGACAGACAGACAGACACACAAGGGTAAAACAGTATACCCCCTCTCCTTCGGAGCGGGGGTATAATAATGACAGAGAGTCAAATAAACAACCAAATGACTGAACTGAAGCGAACTGCAGTGTGGTCTAGGTATAATCGGCCGAAGTTGGGGCCTAATCTCCAAACTTGAATTATGAGTGGCTGTCCAGAGATTCTGCGGGCGTCAGTCCAAATACCTAACATATATTCTAAGATCCATTTGAATCATTATGCTGATTTTTTGTAAAAATTTGAATTATACATTCTCTCTTAAGAAAACTTAAACTGTTGGATACTTAAATGTGAATTTTCAATTCTGACGCTTTGTATGTTCTATTTTTATGCCCCCGTAAACGAAGTTTCGGGGGCATAAAGTTTTTGTCGTGTCTGTCTGTCTGTCTGTCTCTCTGTCTGTCTGTCTGTCTGTCTCTCTGTTTATCCGCAAAAACTTTAACCTTGTCCGTAACTTTTGATTTAGTGGAGCTGTGACTTTTATATTTCACAAGTTTATTCCTTGTGACAAGACCTTCTTTGGGTACCACCAAATTTGATCTTTTGACCTTGACCTTGGAGTCTGACCCACTTAAACGCAAAAATTTTGAACTTTTACTTTGGCCATATCTTTTGAACAATAGATACCAGGACATTTATATTTAACATATGTATTCTTTGTGGAAAGACCGTTCATTGGATACCAACATCCTTGACCTTTTGACCTTGACCTTGGAGATTTCAGTATCTATGAAAAAACTTTAACCTTGGCTATAACTTTTGAACAGTAAGTACTACAGCTTTCATATTTCACATATATAATTCTGATAAAAAGATCTTTCATTAGATACCAAGAACCTTGACCCTTTGACCTTGACCTTGGAGTTTGACCTACTTTAAAAATACAACATTGACCATAATTTTTGAAGGGTTCGGGCTAGGGCATTAATACTTCACAAGTTTACTCCCTTTGGCAAGACTTTTCATTTGATATCAAGAATTTTGACCCTTTGACCTTTGACCTTGGAGTTTGACTTACTTTTCACAAACAATAACTTGACCATAACTTTTGAACAGTAGGGGCTAGAGCTTTCATCTTTCACATGTGTAATCCTTGTGACAAGACCTTTCATTGGATATCAAGAATATTGACCTTTTGACCTTGACCTTGACCTTAGAGTTTGACCTACTTTTTTCAAACTTTAACCTTGGTCATAACTTTTGAACGATAAGGGCCAACGCTTTCATACTTCCCATACGTAATCTTTGAGACAAAGCCTTCTTTTAGAACCCAACAACCTTGACCCTTTGACCTTGAAACAGAGTTTGTCCTATATTATAAAATGTTAACCTTGGTCATAATTTTCCTTGGAACAGGTGTAGCTAGCATTTTATGTTTCGCATTTCTTGTGAAAAGGCCTTACTTTTGGTACCAACATATTTGATAGATCTGCATTTGAGAAAGCTTAACCTTCGCTATGTTGCCATACGGGGCATCAGTGTTTCACAAACACATCTTGTTAGTACTTAATATTTTTACTCAAATTTCCCTGTATCAATATGACTTACTGATTTAAAGTAACAAAAAGTTTATTTTTATTTAAAGTATTACTCAAATTTGCAATAGATCAATTAATTGATAATTCTAAAATAAGGCTAATTCTCAAGTCGAATGTCTGATTTCACAGTCTTCTTACAGGGGTCTGACAGGCCATATTTCAGAACATGTGGGAAAAATATGTGCGGATGACTTTCTTTCATATCATACGTAAAGAGAGATTTTGTATTCTAGAACAAAATATCAAAGTTTCAAAAGAATTGAATTTGAGGTAAAATTTGGCCTATCTATTGTGTCCTACCTTAATACATACTAGACAACAAATGATGTAAGTAAAACCACAGACCTATATACTAACGGGATAGGCAACTACCGCAAGTCTTGCGATATCTCGTAAGTCGCGGGATTTTGTAAGTCAACTTTAATTATTTATATCTCTAAAGCTATCGCATATTTGAGATCAATTCCTTTAAATATCTGTCAAAAATCATTCAAGTTTTGTTTTAGCACATATTATACTGCTTAATTTATCTTAATAGTAATTTTGTTTTATGCAAAATCAGTACATGCCCCGATCGACCATATTTCCAAGAAATCGCTGATTTCGTTGTTTGTTTCTTTATATTTAAATTATACTTTTATTATGCTTTAAAATTTATTAATAAATCAATTCCAATACATTAAAGGAATAAATGATAATAATCAGAAAACATCCTGTTTACTGGGAATAAACGTAAATTGAAAAACTCCTGTACGAAACTGTCCAGGCAGCTTAGACACGGCTCAGGCACGGATTCCGTTTCAGAAACCTGTGCTTATTGTCCCCCGCTTTCGCGAAAACGAGGGGACATTAAATCTCATTCGTCTGTCCGTCTGTCTGTCCGTCGGTCCGTCAGTCTGTCCGTCCGTCACAAAAACTTTAACCTTGCCCATAACTTTTGATTTAGTGGAGCTATGATTTTCATATTTCATATGTGTATTCCTTGTGATAAGACCTTTCATTGGGTACCACCAAATTTGACCTTTTGACCTTGACCTGGAGTTTCAACTACTTTTACTGAAAAATTCCAAACTTTTACTTTGGCCATAACTTTTGAATGGTAGGTACTAGGACTTTCATATTTCACATATTTATTCTTTGTGATAGACCTTTCAAAGAATACCAACAACTTTGACCTTTTGACCTTGACCTTGGAAATTTACGTACTTTTTAAAAAACTATATCCTTGACCATAATTTTTGAACGGTAAGGGCTACGGCTTTTATACTTCACATATGTTATTCTTGTAAGAAGACCTTTCATTGGATAACAAGAACTTTGACCTTTTGACCTTGACCTTGGAGTTTTAACTACTTTTTAAAAATTATAACCTTGGTCACAACTTTTGAACGGTAGATACAAGGACTTTTATATTTCACACATGTATTCTTTGAGGCAACACCTTTCATTGGATACCAACAACTTTGACCTTTGGACCTTGACCTTGGAGATTTACGTACTTCTGAAAAAACTTTAACCTTGACCATAACTTTTAAACGGTAAGGGCTAGGGCTTTCGTACTTCATGTATGTAATCTATGTGAGAAGACCTTTCATTGCATGCCAAGAACTTTGACCCTTTGACCTTGACTTTGGAGTTTTAACTACTTTTTAAAAACGTTAACCTTGGTCACAATTTTTGAACGGTAGAAACTAGGACTTTCATATTTTAAATATATGTATTCTTTATGGCAAGACCTTTCATGGGATACCAAAAACTTTGACCTATTGACCTTGACCCTAAAAATGATATTTTGCCCACAAAGATACCGAAAGCGGGGGACCACAATTCTTTGAATTTGCTTGTAAAATTCCTGCTCCTATGTAAAGTATATATGGAAAGCCATGCCTGAAAGGGGTCGAGGCACGGACACGGCACGGGATATTGGCCGAATTATTTAAATGAGATCACACGGTTTTACAAAATCTGTGTCAGAAAGACGTGCTTGTTTCCATATATGGACTCACGGATTCTGTAAACTCGTGTCTGAAACCCGTGTCCTATTCCATATATGGAGACACGGATTTTTGGAAACCCGTGTCAAAAAAAGCCGTGTGCATACCATATATGGAGTCACGCCTGACGGGATCTGTGCTTTTGTCTAGAACTAGGTCAGGGACTGTAGAGAACCTCCTGATGTTACTGCATGTGGATGCCAAAATGGCAACTGAAACCAAACTTCACAATGCTTTACATTATCATTATTCTTAGCTTTAGAATTTTAAAAGTTGAAAATCTTATATGAATGTGTCCTGATTTACTTTCTGTTAAAGATTCAGATTGCTTTATCAGTTACAATCCAAGCTAGTTTTTAGTTAAGAATTTAATTTATCTTAGTTTGGACAATCTGAGAAAAAATTTAATTTAAATAAACCTTTTTTGTAGCACAGTGATGACACATAAAATATTTGGGGATTAATTAGTGAGAGTACAACTTAAGAGTCATTCAAATAAACAGAGATGCAGTGTTTCATCTAGTCATGCAATATCAACATTGCAGATACAGAGAACTGCACTAGATCATGAAAATTGAAAATGAACTAATATTTATTCTATCTTAGACTTACTGCATTTAGTTTAAAAGTGAGGAAGTCCTCCAAGACTGACATAAATACAATTCCAACTGACTATTAGTAAAATATCCTTTAACTAAAGTAAAACAGGCACATTCTTAGCTCATGACAATGAATCCCTCCAATTCAATATTCAAATAAAGGAAGCTATGATTGAGCATGCTCAGTTAAAAGCCGTGAGTTATAAATAAATAGTTTGAAGCAAAACCCACCCGAGTTAAAAACCGTCTCCAAGGGACACGGATTCCGTGCTTCCACACAGGTTTTTGTGAACAGGGATCCCTCACTTTGAGACTCAAAAGCCGTGTCTGTGTCTTGGACTTGCAGAACCCGTGCCTCTGTTTAAAAACCTGTGCGGATTCCGTGCCTTAGCCGTGCCCAAGCCATGCCTATTCCGCCTCGAACTTTCGTACGGGCTTGTAGTTTCGTGAGTGATGTTTTGGGTAGATAAACATAGCGATGAAGGAGTTGCCTATCCCATTAATATATACATGTAGGTCCATGGTAAAACATACCTTTGTGTGTCCACCCTTCATAAATGGAACCTTCCTGGCTACAGACTTCTTTTTCAACCTTATTCTCTAACTTCTTTTCCATATTCAGCACCAGAATGAAGAACGCCCGTGGACTCAGAAATATCTGATGTGAGGCATAATATGAACACTGTCCAGCAAAGTCAACCATAGTAATTTTTTTCTCTGGATCATCCAAAACATCTTTGGAAACTCTTAAAATTCCTGATATTTCTGAATTCTCAGGAACCATTTGTTTGTCTTCAATCATTTCTCCTTCATCCACGAAAGCAGCGGCTTCATTTCCTTTGAGTGATTCAGATTCTGTATCCAAGTTCTCACGTGGAAATTCAATATCACTAACCGATTCTTCTTTGTTTGTTATGGCTGCATCCATTTGATCCCCTGTCTCTGTGATGGCAAGCTTTTTTATGTCACCAGCTACTTTTACAGTCTGCTTTGAAATAGTCTTTTGTTCGCTTGATTCATCAATTTTAACTTTAAAGCGTTGTCTTTGGTTTGATGTGTTTACTGCAAAAGAAAAAAAAACATTAAAAGAAATTATTCAAGTAAAATCAAGAAGTTTCACTTTTTAAATTTTTTGATTGAAAAGAAAATGCATTTTCTTTTTTGCTTTGCTTAAGCCAGGGTACAGAGTAGCTTTTATAATAAGAACTTCTGTAATCTAATAATAAATAATAATAAATAAATTCAAATAATGAAAGGGGATATCTTATATAATGTATACATTGTACACTTTATTTACTAGATATTGTATAATCTTCTACCATAAAAATGCTTAAAAGCTGAAGGGACAGTGCACAACCCACTCTGGAATTGTTGAGTTACAAAACTGAAATTTAATATAGCAACAAATACAAGAGGCACATGAGCTACATCACTTTTTAAGTATTTTTGCTGAAGAAAAGCAGAAATCTGTTAAGTCTGAAAAGTTAAATATATGGTCCAAGGAGAGGAAAGGGAAGGGGTATGATTTCAACGACCTTGAATCTACACTACATGTACCTTAAGCAATTATTTGATCGATCATGGCTTAAAAAAATTAATTTTTATGAGGATGCTTTCATTAAATACGACTGATTATCAGTATTGTTTTTGACAATAATTTTATTTAATACTTTTTGAACGAACCTAGTGTACTCTACTAATGTTATCATAATTAAAATCAAAGGCCTGGCAATCATTAACACACCATACCTCTGATTGTGGTGTCTGTTACATCAAAAATGTCAGACTGTACGTCAATGCCCCTGGTAGATGTTAAATTCTTCAAAATTTCTTCCAGGTTGATGCCCTTTAGTCTCTCCAGTAGGGTTGATTTCCCACTTCCAGCACATCCAATGATCAACCCAGAGGCGTGGTACATGGTCGTCTCCCCTTTCTTCAGATTTTCAATGAAATTCTTCACTGACTCTTCTCCTCTCATTAAAATCTGCATTGGCACACCAACTATGATAAAATAAATCATCTGTCATTCAATCGTAGATTTACTAGTCTGTTCTTCAAATTTTCAAGGCACACAGATGCATATGCATACTGATCTTTTCTCAAGCATTCCTCTTAATAAGCAAGAAGGATGTGGAAATAACGAACAATATTCAATCTCAAAGTCCATAAAACAATACAAAATAGAAGCAGAGAAACATCAGAGGTTGGATCAGGTGCCATGGAGGAGTGAGCATCCCCTGCTGACCGGTCACACCCGCCGTGTGCTCCTTGTCATGATCGGGAAATAACGGAAAAATCTGTCGTCAATTCAGCGTAAAATACATAAATAATGGACCAACAATGGGTATGAAAAACGTCAGTCAGCATTTGACTCAATGATAAATTGTATTTGCTGACAAGCCCATTGCATCGACCATAGAACTTACGAAATGATGACTTAAAACAAGAAAGTGTTCATACGTAGAGCATCTCTTGCGTAATGAATCAACTGAGATATATATACTCCGTATGCATATGATGAAGGTATATTGCTGCATAAGTAAGGGAAGTTGACGATAAAAAAGTTAAAGTCATCACGTTTATCATATAGCTTGGTTGTTAGATTACCATTAACATCTTTTCAAGTAAAATATCCAAGAATGAAATACATGTGTCAGATTCTGTGGTATTTTTTTATCTCAAGCTCACCAGGACATATCGTGTCGACGTAGGAATGGAAATTACTATTGTTAATTGACACTACGCCGTTGATATATCTAAATGTGAAGTTGAAGGCCACAGCAAGTGTTTTCTTCTTTTCACGCACAAGATTTTGTACAAATTCTGCTTCATATGAATATAAAAAATAGGTCTGCTGATAACGGAGCGCAATTTGTACCCATGGGAATTCCAATAGATTGCTGGAATACCAGGTCTCCAAAAACCATAGGCATTGTCAATCAGAAATTCAAGCATCTCTTTGATGTCAACTTCAGAGTACACCGTACTTGTGTGTGCAATCAGAATGTGTTTTAAGAAAATAATTTTGTAAATGACGTTGACCAATGACCAGGTAAGTACATTTTGTGAATTTATGAGTTCCATTTTTATTGAAAAAGCAGCTGTCAATGATATCAAGAAGCCTGGACTATAAAGTCGTAAGTTTTTAAGCTGTTGGTTTTGGTAAAATCTTGTGATTTCAAATTGTCTAAAAGTTTTATTGAATTTTTGAGTATCCACATCTGATTCACACCACTTCTTGAATATATTTTGTACAGTGCTCTTTACGTTTTTCCTTCACTTCTGTCAGTATCTTAGTGAGGAGTAATGAAAAAGGCTTGGTTGCACATTTACTTGAACCCGCAATGTATCTTTGTACTAAGGATTCTTATGAAGTTTTGAAATCCAGAATATATAGGGTAGTTCAAATTCATTTTGGCGCTGTGGAATATTAAAAATATTTTAAACTGACACATGATTCTGAAGAATTTCTTCCTTCGCAAGGGAAGTATAAGTTGGATTACCATTTGTAGAATTAAATCCAAGATCTTCTAAAATACATATATATATAATGAGCCTTACAGACGAAGACAATATTGTTACCTGCTTTGTCGGCAGGGACTAGTACGTACTGATCATGTAATCTATCTAATTCTTTTTTCACTTCTGGATTATTGAACACAGAAGCATAGATGGTTTTCATATTGCCCCTCAATATTTCAATATGGGACTTTAACATGGATCTGATACATTTATTCCATTCTGATGAATGCAATGATGAACCAGAGACTTGGAATGTGTTTAAGTAATGGTAATAGAATTTTCAATATTGAACTGTCCTTTTCTTCCTGTGATATGGTGAATTGTAACATGTTTAGAAATCATTTATACATCTTGGTAGAATTTTTTTTATTTTCCAAGATAAAATGTACAGTGCATATAGGAATAAACTAATAAATATAATAGCAAAGTAATAACCTGGAATAATTGTCAATATGTACTGTAAAACAGCTATTATTCGCGTCATCTTTTATTTGCCATTTGTCGGTTTGAAATCAATCCGTGGCAATTGATTTTGACAAAAAAGGAAATACTTTCTACTAAAATATAGCAAAATAAATGGTTCGCAGCGATCAATACTTGCGGTTTAAAGTAGATCGCGAAACTCGCTCATATTTCTTGCACGCAATAAATGTGGGTTTATTGTATTTGTTTATTAGCATGCTTCGTGAATTTGCACATGTACATGTAACTAGAACTATCTAACTTTCTACATAACTTACACACCAATGACTCAACCTCAAGGTATATGTTGAGGGGAAGGTTAAAAATGAAATACTTACGGTTATGAAATACATCCTCATGTATTGATGTATCCTGCCATGTTGGGTGGATGAAAACATCCTCTCCAAGTTTTTCTATCAATTGTTTTGTTTGTAGTGGTGATAGCCAGCAAAAGACTTCCCCCTCTTTCTTTGGATAGGCCCATGACCTGCAGTACTCAGCAATGTTGTCTTTTTCTGCCAAAGTCAGAAAAATATCCACAAAATCTGGATCTTTAGCTAATCTAAGAAAGCTTGTGTCTCTAAAGAATTCACAGGAAAATTTGAGATTCACATTTTCCTGCTTGATTATTGGTTTGTACTTCTTAAAGTTGCTAAGATTGGATGGCTTCTTAATCTTCTTGAATTTGAAAATTTCAGCAACAGCATTATACTTCTTTATCCAGTGTTCTTCTTTCAAATTTATTTTGTATGAAGGGCAAAGCAGAAGGCACATCAAAACTGCATCTCCATCTACAAATAAACAAAAAGTCCATGTACCACAACACTCACTGTAGCTTTTGGCTAGAGAAAAAGTAGAGGAAATTAATTAAGTATTGAAAAGTTTAAATATACAAGCCGTCCCAACCTATCCCTCCAAGGGGAGGAGGGGGGTAATAGACGGGTTGAGTAAACTTACACCTATACTAACTTTTATGTTTCCATATTTCTTTGACTAATCCGAGTTTTAGCAGACTTTTTCTTAATGATGTTTAAATGATCATCTACTGTCATGTTGCCCTGTCCTACCTTTAATGTCGGTCAAAAGCTCTACAGAGCTTATGTTTTCTGTTGTAAAAATCCGACTTAAAATAAAATTTTCTGATTCTGATTCTGATACTACCCCCAGGGGCGGATTTGAACAAATGTGAATGTAAATTACCCAGAGATGCTTCTTTATTAATATTATGCAATTATAAACTTCAGTGTAGGTCAATATGTGGTTATAAGGACTTATTGACCGAAGTCACAGAAAGTGATCGTGACAGAGCTTGCGAGTCACTATCATTTTATGTGTCTAAGGTCAATATCACTTGCCATGAGTACTTATAACCACATAGACCATTCATTGAAGTCCATAATAGTTATATTAAATAATCACTCGAAGAAAATTAGATTTCGCACAATTCTAACTGAACTGCCTCGACTGTCATGACATCACAAAGATGAAAAGGCTTTTACATTATGACATCATGTTCTATGTAGCTCTCCAGAAGCCGAACTGACGTTGAGTCGTTCAATATCATATTCCTTTTGCTTTTGCGTTAATATCACAAAAGGAGGAATATCAGATGACGTCCTTTCAACCTATGAAAATTACAATATAATTTTCTTATATAATATAGCAAACAAGAAACCTGTGAGCCAACGCTCACTAGTAATACCCCCGCTCTGACGCAAATAAGCAATATCATGTTAATATACACAAGTTCAATTACAGGCAGATGCACAGAAAAATATGAAGTTGCCATCAGATTCATATCAAAATCAATCCTACCAAATGGCATGCCTCAACACAGAGTGTAATAAAATTTCAAGCTTTAAGCATCTGCTATGAATAGCTTATGAGAAAACTGTGACGAAGATTTGTTATTTGTGAAACAGACAGACGCACAGACAAACAGGAAGTTGATATCAGATCTAAATAATAATGTATCCCACCATATGGCATGCCTCAGAGAAGATTGTGTTAAAATTTCAAGCATCTACGACGAGCAGTTGCTGAGAAAACTGCGACGAAAAATTGTAATGTATGAAATGGACAGACGCAAAGACAAACAGGAAGCTGACATCAGATTTGAGTGAAAATGTATCCTACCATATGGCATGCCTCAGAAAAGATTGTGTTAAAATTTCAAGCATCTACGATGACCAGTTGCTTAGAAAACTGTGACAAAAATTTGTTTCGGACGGACACACGGACAGCTAGACAGACAGACAGACACACAAGCGTAAAACAGTATACCCCCCTCTCCTTCAGAGCAGGGGTATAGTAAAATGTAGCTTTGTCGCTCTTGAGAAGAAACAAATTTAAGATCTTAGCTATATGTCCCTTTGTATAAATTCGATATATTATTGTGGCCAGGCCCATTATGCTACAGGGGTGAAGTACTGGTCCAGCTAGTAGGCCTTTCATCTAATTTTTACAGCTTGCTCAAATGTAAATAAAAAAATTGATATATAGGTTTAAAGGTGTTAATCTCTATTTTTGCCAGAATGAATAATCACACTGAGTTTCCACAGATCACTGACTTTATTCTCCTCAGTCCCACATTGACCACACAAACTTAAGCAACCTCCAAACACATAAGAGTTCGTTACTGAGAGTTATCTTTCTTGATTCATAATGCAACATAAAATATATTAACAAGGTACATGAAATTCTCAAAATAGAGTAGAATGGTTTCAACATTCATTAAAAAATTAAAATATCTTTAACTGATTTGTAAGAAGTTGTGTTTTAAGGACAGGTAACTCAATGTGAAAAACAATCATCAAATTGTAGATTTATGGTTGTTTCCAGGAATGGCATATAGGCTGCTAGTACATTTTGTATTGTTTAATGTACACAAAATGGGTTGACCAAAACAAGAAGAATGTCTTCACTCTAACCGGAATAATAAAATAACTGGAAACAGACTATATTCAAAATTTTTAACTCTCCCTGACTGTTGGTATGAGGAACAACTCTCCAACAATTCAATTTGGTTCATTGATTCAATTCAAACGAGAGGCCATGAAATACACAGTTTTGAAAGAGGCGCCATTGCTCATCATAAGTATACATTGAACATGGTTACTTTGATTTCTTAATATCCAGGGCAGAGGTACAAAGAAAACAAGAGGCCCATGGGCAACATTGCTCACCTGAACACTACCTAGAAAAAAAAAAACAAAAATCAATCCAGTATTGAAAAAGCTTAAATGTATAAGTGGTCCATTCTTCCTCTAAAAGGGGAAGGGGGTATAATATAAATTTACTTGAATATACACTTACTTGGGATGATTACATATTTCTATATCTTACTGTAGTTTTTTTTCCTATATATTTTGGCCCCACTCTACCCCATGGGTTCACAATTTGAACACATTTGAATCTATATAACCCAAGGATGCTTGATCCATATAAATATGACAAATCATGACTTCGCTGTTCATGAAAAGAATGTTTTAAAAAGATTTTTCCTATATTCCTATGTAAATCTTTGATCATCCATTGTGGCCCCTACCCACGCCTTGGGGTCATGATTTGAACGAAATTGAATCTACACTACCTGAAGACTACCAGCTGAGTTTCATTATTCCTGACCCAGTGGTTCTTAAGAAGAAGATTTTTAAATCATGCCACCAAATTTCCTTATTATATCCCCTTGAAAGAGGGTGTGGCCCTTCATTCGAACAAACTAGAATACGCAAATTTCGAGATTATCTCCCTTGGTGCGCTCTTTCATTGACGAGGGGAGTTTCGTTCCTGTGTAAGCAGACAGGTGGGGCAGTTATTTATATATTGGATACATTTCATCTGATGATTCATTGATATACTGGTTTATCATAACTAAATGATTGTAAGGATGTATTTTACACCTCGAGAATAACCAAATTAATGTAAAAGCGTTTTTTTTTTAAAGAAAAGAAATCGTAACAAATAGAAAATATCAGTGGATATTAGACTATTCAGACAAGGGAACAGATATGGACCTCTAATAAATACGGTACAAATGCATCTGATCATTACATGTTGGCAATCTAAAAGAAACATTGATTTTTTTCCTAATGTAACTAAAAATAAACCCACTAATTTTTTGTACAATCAAGAAAATCAGCTACTTTTATAAAGACCACGACGTTTCTTTCATTTTCAAATACCCTATAATTGAAAGTAGAATTGTGAATATGCATAGTTGAGCTTGATAAAATCATCAAATGCATCACTGCTTAACATTATTATCTTTCTATAACATTCAGTAAATTTTAAAAGTTATAAATATCGTTCATTTATTTACACACGTTTGTATACAGAAACAACCTCAATGCTAAAATGGAAACTTTTCGCGCCTCTATTTTAGGAGAGTTACAATCTCGAAACTCAAGTATTTTATTCACCCAATGATGCTTTGTGGCAAGTTTGGTTGAAATTGGCCCAGTGGTTCTGGGAAAAAATCGAAAATGTGAAAAGTTTACAGACAGACAGATGGATAGTTAGACAGACAGACACCTGACAAAATATGAACAGAAAAGCTCACTTGAGGTTTCAGCTCAGGTGAGCTAAAAAGCAATTCCACTATATAATCAGTAGTGCCCCACCCCACTGGAACCCCTGACCCTGGGGCCAAATTTAACAATTTTGGAAAAGGTACCCTTGCTCACCATAAATCTTTGATTCATCCCAAAGAGGATACTTCAAAGCATTAATGCAATTTCAGTAGATAATTATTAAAGCCCCCCCCCCCAAGGTACCCCTGATTCAGGGGCCAAGAAATTCACAATTTTGGGAGAGACACTCTTAGTCATTATACATGTAACTTTGTACTTAGATCATCGTCTTAATACCCAGGAGCAGAGGAGAAACCTTCAATTATAAATTATAACAAGAGGCCCAAAGCCTTGAATTGCTCTTCTGATAAATTATACAATCTACATGTATCACTTCTATTAGAAGCCTCCAACTCTATTAGTATCATAAGATCCAAAATGCATCAACTTATAAAGTTTGATAATATTTAGCCAGGTAAGACTGAAGATATATCAATATAATTATAAAATACCATAAGTAGGTCACAGTGACCTACCTTTTGATTAAAATTTTCTGAGGACTCAAGATACTTTAATTGACGAAGACTGATGATTCTAATTAAATAAATACCTGAGGTATTCAAAAGTAGGTCATTATGACCTACTGTTTGGTCAACATTCTCTGAAAACCCAATATGCATCAACTGACAAAGTTTGACGATTCTAAGCCAATTAGTACCAGAGATAATTAAATATATCTATCAAATGTCAAAAGTAGGTCACAGTGACCTAGTTTTTGGTCGACATTTTCCGAAAACCCAAGGTGCCTAAACTGACAAAGTTTGATGATTCTAAGCTAATACATACCTGAGATATTCAAAAGTAGGTCACCGTGACCTACTTTTTGGTCGACATTCTCCGAAAACCCAAGATGCATCAACTGACAAAGTTTGATGACTTTAGGTAAATAAGTACCAGGGATACTTAATAATAGCCACAAAATGTCAAGAAAAGCTCACCATGACCTACTTTTTGGTCGTCACTCTCCGAAACCCAAGATGCATCATCTCACAAAGTTTGATGATTCTAAGCCAATAAGTACCGTAGATACTTAATTAAAGCCATAAAATGTCAAAAGTAGGTCACCGTGACCTACTTTTTGGTTGTCACTCTCTGAAAACCAAATATGCATCCACTCACAAAGTTTGATGATTCTAAATCGATAAATACCTAAGATACTT